TGGATGAAGGAGTGGATGAGTGATTGGCAGGAGGATTGGCTGAGTGATTGGCTGAGTGATTGACAGGAGGCGTGGCTGAGTGATTGACAGGAGGCGTGGCTGAGTGATTGGCTGAGTGATTGACAGGAGGCGTGGCTATGCAGGATTGCGGTGTGTGACTTGTGAGCTCGCTGATAATGTTTTATCTAAACCTGCGGGAAAGCGTTATTGAACCGTTCTAAATATTTCTGTATAATATGTGTTGAAAAACGATATTTTTGACGAAACTAATAACAAACCCAAAAGATTCGGGGCTTTTGAAAAACACGCCCCCGCCCCTGTTTTCTGTGTGCTTACAGCCACCAACTAATGACTGTCTCTGTGTGAATGTCCACAAAACTGGAAGACTTGTATACAGTATACAGTATACACGGAAAGTTATTTTAGAAAGGAAAAAAAGTTGAAAAAGAGGAATTAGTGAGAATCAATGAATTATGAATAATATTTAGCTATTGTGTGAATTATTTGTAATCATGTGATCAATAAAAAAGTAACTGTAGTCTGATTATGAGTATTTTAAAATGTTATATAATCTAATTACAAGTATTTTATTTTTTTTGGAATCTGAATATCCAGATTACATGTAATCAGTTACTAACCAGCACTAGTCACAACTAACATTTTACAAAGATTACTGGCGATTTAAAGCATGTTATCATTTAACATCACTACAAACAGGCTTTCCATCTAACAAAAATTAACTAGTCTAATAATAATAATAATAATAATATGTTATTGTTCTCCCATGTGACCCATATTGCTTTTTTTAATACATTTAATAAAAATATCACACCAGTAATTGTTCTCTGCAAACACTCTTAAAAATAAAGGTGCTTCAAAAGGTTCTTCAAGCGATGCCATAGAAGAACCATTTTTGGTTCCACAAAGAAGCATTCAGTCAAAGGTTCTTTAAAGAACCATCTATTTCTTACCTTTTTATAACCTGAAGAACCTTCTTTCACCACAAAGAAGCTTTTGTCAAACAGAAAGGTTCTTCTCATTTCTCATGTTGAAGGTTCTTTATGGAATCATTTAGACAAAAAGGTTCTTCTATGGCATCGTGAAGCACCTTTATTTTTAAGAGTGTATTTTGTTTTAAATAGCTTACATATTTTGACATTTTGACTCACAAATAAAAACAAAAAAATTCGATAACGTGTGCGGTGACACTGCAGCTCGGTTAAACCAGCAGTGTTTTATTATATGGTGAAAACTTCATTCAGTCAAAGGTTCTTTAAAGAACCATCTCTTTCTTACCTTTTTATAATCTGAAGAACCTTCTTTCGCCACAAAGAAGCTTTTGTGAAACAGAAAGGTTCTTCAGATGTTAAAGGTTCTTTATGGAACCATTTAGACAAAAAGGTTCTTCTATGGCATCGTGAAGCACCTTTATTTTTAAGAGTGTATTTTGTTTTAAATAGCTTACATATTTTGACATTTTGACTCACAAATAAAAACAAAAAAATTCGATAACGTGTGCGGTGACACTGCAGCTCGGTTAAACCAGCAGTGTTTTATTATATGGTGAAAACTTCATCGGGACATCAAACCAAGAAATGTGATCTGTCAGGTGATCCTGAGAAAAAGACACGATTGTCTGACGTTGCACCTCGCGTTATGAAAACAATGTTTGGAATATAATGATCAAAACTTCGTGATATAGATGAAGTGATATTGATATAAATATTGTACATGTTGAATATTCATCCAAATTATGGTGAAAATCAAAACATTTGTGTGATAAAATAACATTTGTGTGTTCAGAAGTGTTTTCTTATATGGTGAAAACTTCATCGGGACATCAAACCAAGAAATGTGATCTGTCAGGTGATCCTGAGAAAAAGACACGATTGTCTGTTGACAGTCGAATACGAGGCTTTACTAAAATGAAAAAGAATAGTGAATGGAAGAAAGTTGTGGCGGGTCGGCACAACTATGCTGTGAATGGACCAGAGTGGGGAGAGTTTTTATGAGTTATAATGTAAGATAATATGTACCAAAGCCAATGAGATGTTACAACTGTCAAAGATTTGGTCATACAGCCAAAACCTGCAAAGGCAGAAGAAGATGTGCTAGATGTGGAGAAGATCATGATTATGAGAAGTGTGGTTACATGGAGCAACCCAGATGTTGTAACTGTGGTGGAAATCATAAGTGTGGCTTATGGTGGCTGTGAAGTACTGAAAAGGGAAAAAGAAATACAACAGGTGAGGATTCAGGGTAAGGTAACGTATGCAGAGGCTGTGAGGATAGTAAGTCAGAGAGGAGGAAATGGAAAAAGAAGCAGTCCAGGTAAACAACTCGATAAGGATTCAGATCAGGCAAATGAAGAGAAGGTGATGGTTGACATTAAGAAACTAGTCACGTTCATCAGTCCAGCATCTAGATATCAGAGGACTGACATGGGAGGAGGTTAGAAATGATCTCAGTGTCAAGAGTCAAGAACCGTCAGGAACTGGATAGTGTTGATAATGGTTCTCTGTCTGCAATGGAATGCGAGAAGCTTATTGGCTAATGGACAGGAATTAAAAAAGTTTATAGATGATTTGCCCATTAAGCCAGATGTGATTTGTGTACAGGAAACGTGGTTGAAACCAAACTTGGATTTTAAAATAGTTGGTTATTCATCTGTTAGAAGTGATAGGGAGGAGGGAAATGGAGGGGGATGTGCTGCATTTATTCAGGAAGATGTTGCATTTAGAGAGGTGAGTATAGGAAGTGAGCAAGATTATGTTGGTGTAGAGATATGGACAGGTGAGGGAAAAATTATTAATTTTTATAATCCTTGTAAGAGGCTAGTTTTAGATAACTTAAAACAAATTGATGGGATGGATAGTGATAGGGTGTTGGTATGTGGGGATTAGCATAGCACTTTATGGGGAGGAGTTAGAACAGATACAAATGGGGAGGTCATAGAAGAGTTATTAGAGGAAAAACAAATGGTTTGTTTAAATGATGGGAGAGGGACTAGAATAGATGTGCGCACTGGGAACACTTCAGTATTAGATTTAACATTAGTGTCTAGAAATGTAGGTGGAAGATGTGAGTGTGATGCGTTAGAAGACACAGCAATAGGTAGTGATCAGTTTCCAGTGTTTTGTCAACTACCATTGGAAAAGAATAAGAGGAAAGGTGAAATGACAGGGAGATGGATATTTAGTAGTGCAAAATGGGAATTATTTGTGAAAAGGAGATATGTAAAATAGATTTAAATAAAGATATTGAGAGGGTTGAGGAAAACATTAGAACAACTTTAATAGAAGCTGCAAATTAGTCCATTTCTAAAAGTAAAGGAAAGATGGAGAAGAAAGCAGTCCCTTGGTGGACAGGTGATTGTGCTAGAGCAGGGCTGTCAAACTCAGTTCCTGGAGGGCCGGAGCCCTGCAGAGTTTAGATTCAACCCTAATTAAACACACCTGATCCAACTAATCAAGTCTTTCAGGCTTATTTGAAAACTACATGGTATGTAAATAAAGATACAAGAGGCCATTAATGTAGTTGAAAAATGGTCATACTCATGGGGATTGAAGTTTTCAGTAGAAACAACTAAATCACTAATATTTACAAGGAAAAAAAGGAAATCACTGGAATGGAGGTAAGAATATACTGTACAGACAATTAATTGAGAGAGTTAAAGTCTTTAAGTTTTTGGGAGTGTGGT